AAGACCAACGACAAATTACACTGGAATACGTATCGCCATTTTCGTCAGGAAGTTAAACGTGAAATCAGGCTTGCCGAAAAAGAGCATGTTGGCGCTGAAATTCTAAAATCGAATGGTAATACCAATTTGATTTGGAAAATTCTCAATAGATACATTTCAAGGAAGTATACTCCATTAGCCACTGTCGAAAATCCGCTTCTCCTAGCAAACAAATTCAGTGAATTTTATGCAAATGTAGGTACAATGACAGCTTTGAAATCTACAAAGCTTGCCGAGGAACACAATTTTAACATTTATGACACAGAGGGATTTGATCCGTGCGAGTCCTGATCGTAACTCCTGTCCAAACAATACTCCCTTATTTGCATTTCAACCCATTACCACACGCGATGTGCATAAGATTTTTAAGAGTCTACCTTCAAATAAAGCTACCGGTTGTGATAAGTTAACGCCAAAATCCTGAAAGACAGCTCACCAGTTATCGCTCCCATTATAACTAGTCTTATCAACAATTCCTTTACTTTGAGTACTTTTCCACTTCCATAGAAGAAAGCAGAAATCGTTCTAACTCTTAAGTCCGCGGACAGTAAAGAGCCTGCTAACACGAGGCCAACATCACTACTGCCTATTTTATCTAAAGTATACGAAAGAGCGGCTCACTTGCAGTTTACCAATTTCCTCGATTCAAACAATGTCATTCGTTACCTGCAAAGTGGAAATAGATATTGTTCTTTTGGTCATGTCCAAAGCTTTTGATAGCATTCGACACGATTTAATGTTACGTAAACTTCGCAAAGCTAGTGTATCTGACTGCCTGGTTCGAAAGCTATTTATCGCAACGTCAACAAGACGTTAAATTTCAGAATACTGTATCTGATCCCTTACCCCTTACGGTTGGGGAGCCGCAAGGATCCATCATGGGCCCGGTGTTGTTTACATTGTGTGTAAACGACCTCTTTCGAGTTCCAAAACAATGCGAACCACTCGGCTATGTGGATTACACCAAACTCTTCCTTGGATTCCCCGCCATCGAACTTAACGACGTTATCTCTGCAGTAAACGAAGATCTTAAAGAAATATCGATTTGGCCGATTCGCTGGTCATTAACCCTGACCAAGCAAAGCTCCTTTATGTAGGCGTCCCACAACTCATGAGGACATTACGTACCCCCTTGCCAAGTGCGACAATGCTGGGAACTCAAATCAAGCCTGTAACGGTTGCAAAGGACCTGGGAGTGTATATAGATTGTCACCTTAACGTTAACAAACATATCACTAAAACTGCCTCTGACTGTATGTTTAAACCAACGAGAGTTAATAGGATAAAGTATCTCTTAGAGAAAAAAAAACATTGATCTATCTTACATAGATAGATAGATAGATAGATAGATAGATAGATAGATAGATCGACAGATAGATAGATAGATAGATAGATAGATAGATCGACAGATAGATAGATAGATAGATAGATAGATAGATAGATAGATAGATAGATAGATAGATAGATAGATAGATAGATAGATAGATTTAATTCAAATCATATGGCAGCCCCCCAAGGCTAAATTGCATGAATTTACAAATACAAATGATACAAAACTTAAAATATGAAAACGTACTGAATTAAAAAACAAAATCTACAAAATTATACTTTAGAATTCTAATTTATAAAAATTATACTTTAGATGAATTAAACTTTACACAAAAACTGCTAACGCCTGCACATAGATGGCAGAAATGTGCTCGAAAAACGCTTGGTACGCATGACTGGATTTAAATGCTTTCGTCTTCAGCAAGTTATTTTATTGTTCGACGGTATGGAGCAAGAAGAACGAGCAAGAAGAACGTTAGAGAACTTCAGCTAGTTCAGAACTATGCCTGTAGAATCGCAGCTGGTTTAAGAAAGTACGATCACGTCTCAGAAGCCCTGAAGTCCCTTAAACGGCTTAACGTAAGGGATAGACTGCTTTTTAACGACCTAGTGATGGTCCTTACACCTAACACCTGGTTACCTTCACGGACACTTTCAATATCGTGCAAAAACAAACCAAAGAGACACTAGACAGAATAATGACCTTACGTTCCCTCGGTATAGGCTGGTCACTGGCCAAAAGACTTTCACCTACCGTAGGTCAAAACTGTACAATAGTATAGCTAAAGATGAGGGAATCAAAACGGTAAACAACCACACACAATTCGCTTTGAAGCAAATATTAAGGAGCTTTAGCAACGCGACGACGACGGTATTAAAAAAGGTCGCTAAAAATGAATTTGCGTCTTTTTCAATTGAGAGGATTTTCCTGGAGTTGAATTCTTAAGGACCTTATCCAGTTTCAAAAAGAAATTTGTTCACCTCCCCGTAGAACGTTGCATTTGAAGGCTTCACGTCGCAGTAGTGGACATCAAATAAATGCGTTGTCGTGATTTTTTAAGCTCCCTGTTGGCATGGGGGTTTAGCCCGGCAGGATTCGTGTGAACTTAGTTCGAGGGGCTCCCGAACGAGCATGAGTAAAACAGGAAATGACTTCGAGACAACATCACGTTTGTATGACAAAAACACTGTACCGATCTTTTTTCGTGTCTGCGTATAAACTTGGGAGGGAATGTTCTTCTGGTCAAGGACCTTTAAGTCTTCATTCGGGTGGTGAAGTTTGTCTGTTCAAGTAACATTACCTCGCATTTGCCATGATGTGGAGTTGGGCGGTTGTTAATACACCAGGTAAACTCAACTAAAATTTTCAATCGATGCGATGAAAACTACACAACAAAGCTGTCTCGAATCTGAGCGTGTTTCCTAAAAAAATTGCTTGAATTTAACATCAGCTCGACTAAAAAGTCAATAACACAATGCGTCGTTTGAATCATGAAGATATTTCAATGCTATGCTTCTAAACACCTTTAGCAGTAATAATAGACGTAAAAATTGGAAAGAATCAAAATGGCGGTCTCTTAGCACCCTTGTTTGACCTTAAGCAATATCATCAACTGTTAGATCCCAAAATCTGGTTGGTTCTTACGCAACAACTCATAGTACCTTCAACCTTATTGGCCCCTGCAATAAACACCCGAACATACGAAGCCACAAAGATACATATGCCCAAACCACTGACATATGAGCTATTTTTTCAAAAGAGTTCAAAAATGAAACTCCTCTTCAACTAATAATGTAGTTTTTGCCCTTTTATTTCAGAATTATATTTCTTCTTTCCTAACCAAGTAAATGATAAGTCAAACTACTTACCTTCAGCTAAGTTTGTCGCGTCTGACCTGCTATCAAACCTTTAACGTCTGTTTGCTCTGGAAGATAGAATCAAAAAGTCCCCTGCATGGATACAGAGCTATTTCGTTGACACTTTTAACAGGGAAAATTACAAACTCACATCCCTCCGCGGAAGAGAAAAGCTACATAAATGTAACTGAAGCTAAAGAAAAAGCATGTCGCTAGTTGTCGCTCAACCTGTGAAGCGGAATTTAAGAGATCTCGGCGAATATTTCCACAAAATAGTAAAAGAAAGACAAAAGATTGAATCATCATGCAATTACAGACAATAAATTTTTTGTCGCTGAACCTGTAAAATAGATGAACTTAAAAGATTCAAAACTTTGAGTCAGAGTAAGTAAAGTTTTTACCTTACCGGCGTCTTAAATTACAGACATCACTTTATAAAATAAAGCAAGGTTATATCCAATTCAGTGGACACCAAACTTGACACTTTAATTAGTCTAAGCGTGCATTTTTTTATATTTACTTTGAGACATCTTAAACAAAATATCCCTTAATAAAACAAAAAAGGAAGCTCCCCTTCAAGCACAATGCAGTTTTTGCCTTTTTATGTCACAAAAATATATATATATAATATATATATATATATATATCCCATTCCTAAACTAGTCATAAAACAAGTCAAGCTATACTTACCTGCGCCGGGCGAAGTTTGTCAGTCGCGTCTGGCGTGCTATCAGATCTTCAAAGGGTGTTTTGCTCTGGAAGATAAAATCAAGAAGTCCCCGTTGCTACGTGTGGACGGCGAGCTATTTCGTTGACACGCTTTTAACGGGGAAAATAAAAGACTCGGCGCATGCCGCCACACAAAGGGGAAAAACCCGTCAATTTTTGTTGCTCAACTTGCAAAATGGATGAATTGTTAAAAAGATTAAAAACTTTTAGGGAGAATATCTGTACCTTCCCGACACTTCATGTTAAAAATATCGCTATGAAACGAAAACAAGGTGATATCTGATTTGGACGGTGGCAAGACGGTAACCACTGAACTTTCGATCAAGCTGAATCAAGGGAATGAAGTTCCCAAAATCTTTTGTTGATGAAGAGCCTCCCAATATTTAGGAATCGCAACGAACGTATTTTAATTTGTCCTGCCCCTGATCATCAACAAGTTATCGTTTCCCTTTCTGAGAAGAAGAGAGAAACAAGCATCTCTGACATGACATGTCAAGGACGGAAACTGAATATTCGAATCTTAAACTAGGAAGTATAAATGGCTAGATCAACGTACTCACCAAAAAATTTCTCTCGGCAAAAGTACCGAAAGGAAAGTGGAAACTGAAAACTCTGGGACTGTCCCTGCATTCTAAGAAACAAAGCCTCGTGTGATAATGATTCCCCGAAAGAAACACCCTAGCCCTTGATATAACATGAATGACGTGTCGCGAGGAAGCAAGCCTACTGGTGAATTTTTATATCGTTTGGACTTTCATACCAGGGACACCCAACGACTTTTATCTGTAAAATTTGTTGGAAGAGCAAATATTGCCTAGAAATCTCTTAAACTTAGGAAAGGCTAGCCTGTTTCCATATTCTATATTTTCTCTTTTAAGATCGTCGAGCGCGCGTAAGAAAACAGAAAACGCGGGGATTCTTGACCGCAAGCGAATATTGGGAATTTTTCGTTTCTTCTTTTTTTTTTTACCTTGCTTACCAACGATTTTGGGAGGTTGAGTTTTTTAAATTTTATTACCAAGATATAACGATTATTATTGTTCTGTTTATGAAAAACGTCCACTAAAATCCTATAATGAAAGTATAGACAAACATAGTTTTTAGGGTAGCTCCAAATTTACCAAACAGGCTTTCCTTTACTACCTAACCTATTCTGTTGCGCCTTCGCGACTACTGTGCTACGGCTTAAAAACCCGGGATTTTCCCTTAACAGGCAGTTTCCAGTTATGAAAATTCATATTTGAATTGTCCATCATTGAATCTAGATGCGACATATTTCCTTTTGCTCTCCTCAACCTCTGAGCCAGTTATGAATTTAAAAATTTGTTACTGGTCTGAATCTGAAATCTCTTTTAAGATAGTTGAGAGCACGCATGAAAATAGAAATCTAGGGGATTTAGTTACCGCAAGTGAATATGAGGAATTTTTCTTGGTATTAAGGGGAAGTCAAACTACTCACCTTCCTTGTTTGTGGCGCCTGACTGGCTATGAAACCTTCAACGGCTGTTTCGCTCTGAAAGATAAACGAACTCAGCAATTGAATGTTGCGGTGCCAAGATGTATTGTAACACTTCAGCTCTGAAAACCTAATTACACCAATACAAACCATGCAAAACGAATGACGTTTGGAACTGTTTTGCTTTCCAAGAAAGTGAAGACAATTAACATGCTCCAATACAAACATTAGAAAAAAAATGGAAATGATTCATGTTTGTGAAATAATATGTATGCTACACTACCAGGAGCTAACCAGGAAATTTATCTCTATAAGTACAGTGAAGTACCATAAAGCTTTTAATTAGGACTCCCGCATTTAAAAATCAGAAATCAAAGCCTCGTATGGTAATGATACCAAGAGAGGAATACTCTGTTCAGTAACTCACGTTCGACGTATTAAAATTCTTACATGACTCTTTGTGCTTTAGTCTCTTCTGGGAATTGCGAAACAATGGAGTCGTGCAAAATTTGCAATTTTGACCCCAAACCCTCGGACTCTGTTAGAATTTTGATATATCGAATGTGGTCTATTAATTATAACATGCATGAAATAGACGTGAGGTTTTTTTCTTACCAGCCCAGTTGCTTCGAACTTTTGAAATCACACGACAAACGGTCCCTGCCAATCGAGGTCGAGTTTTATGAGTCTCTTATACAAACTAGCAATCTAGGAAACTTAGTGCGAAAATTAAAATCTCAAGTAAGATTTACAGTAAAAACCCGCATACAAGAACATGTGGATTAAGAACACCCAGGCTGAAATTTGGTAAAAAAAAAAAAGGAGCATATATATAAGAACACATTCAGCCTGAAAATTGAAAATTGTTCTTATATGTAAAAAATATTCCCTTTTCAGTTTAATAGAACAGTGTCTGTAGCTTTACTGTGGTATTGCACTATGATGTTGTGTGTCTCAAGTTTAATTTTCTCTCAAAGTTATGTATTTCATCATAGTTATTAAATCCCTTACATTTTTTTAGAAGTAAAAAATTAAGAACACTTAAGAACACTTTCAGGTTGATTTCACCTAAAATACCCGATATATAAGAACCCAATCAGCTTGAACCCCGAAAATGGGTGTTCTTTTATGCGGGTTTTTACTGTATGAAATAGAAAAAGGCAAACTAAGATGAGTTTATTTTTTATTAACCAAACTTACTTAACTTTATGGCTTACCTCGAAGCCGCTAATTGGGGACTTTCCCTGCAGTCCAAGAAACAAAAGCTTTTATCAAAACAAATTCAAACCCGGATGCCGAATAGTTAGAACCGATTCCAAAATGTCTAATATTAATACCTTATATAATGTGTCCATTCGGGGATGGGGGGGGGGGGGCGGAGATAAGGAACCGACTACCGAATAGTTTAAAACGAGTCATTCTATTAGCATCTGCAACATATATCTGTATAATATAATCTACCGACGGTTTCTCCAAGTTCCGGGTTTTAAAACTGTAGGTATCTGCATAAAAAATTCTCTTTTTCTTTCTGATATCTCTCCTGAACGATACCTAGGTATTTAAAAAAAACTGCATGATCCACTGACAGATATGAATGAGGACATATCAACATGCAGCTTAGCAGTATTATTACTTTACTCGGCTGGTTTCTTTTATAAATGATGTTTTGAAGATTGTATCCACCTCACTGAAAACCAAGTTAGCCAGTTTAAATTAGGCGGGTCAACATTATTTGTCTCAAACTAGTCAAAACAATCTTAGCAAAAACTTTGGTTGGAAAAGAGTCATTTCGCTAATTTTAAGGACGCAAAACGAACGAAAGTTCATACCGTTTCGCTTTTCAAGAAAGTAAAAAGAACTACCATCCTCTCATACATCCATTGTTAAAAAACTAAAATTAAGTTTGTTTGTGACATATTATTCAAAAAAGTCCGGGACTTTCCCTAAATTGGGAGAGACAAAATCGCTTTCTCTACAAAGATGTCACTGATAGCTGGGTGTCATTCACAAAATCTTGTCGCAGCCCCAATTGGCTTGGATTACCGACACATAGCTATGATCGGATCGAATAGTTCTGCCCAAACACGAATCACACAAGGAAATGAAATTCTCTTACAATGTCTCAATAGATCTCTCTGGTGTTCAAATGGTAACTCCATGGTAACTCCTGAATCAAAGCCTGTCGTACCTCTAGACTGGTGTCTTATGAAGCGTGAAAACAATCTTGAACTTTTCATGAATTTCAAATTACAAAAGAGTGTTATCGTTCTCGCTGGTAATGACTTCTTAACTGTTTACACCAGCAATTAATCTATTAGCTCATATCATTTGTAAAATAATTGTATGCGAGCTCGTCCCTGAACAAGTAACGTAAGCCACACAGAAAAGATGGCTGAATGAAAATACCTACCTCAAGTCTGTAGCGCTCAGTGCTTTAAGTATTTTTCCTGCTCTCTCAAGTTATGTACTCGTTATGTTTCTGGTGAGTCAATGACGACTGAAAGCAGCATAAACTAAACTTCTAACCTCAAAGTCTTTCGTGTCTCTTAACTAGTGTGATAAAACTGAAATTGAAGCAATCCCGGAATTTCCCTGATTTCCGAGAAACAAAAACGCCATGTCCACCATGTCACTGATATTCACCAAGTCTCGATCGGAGTAGAATTGGCTTGGACTACCGACACTTAGGAGCTATCGGATCTTGTCGTACTGTGCAAGCATTATGATGATAAAATACGGACAGAGTCGTGGTTTTCTCTGCAATACGGACGTGAGACAAAGGGTTATAGGGATAAGGGTATCACCTCTAAAAACGGTTCCTTCTGCAAGTACTGAGGCACAGGTTACGTACAACGAAAGAAACAATACAACCAAACAATGAAGCAGCCAGAAGAACTCTATTGTTTGTTTCCTTTGTTTCTTTTGTGATGAGGGTGAGAAAGATGAGAAAGACCAGCAAAAGGCGCACGGCTGTGGACCCTAAAACAACAATTAATCCTTGAATCGCATAATTGAGTAAAATCTCGCATTCTGATTGGTTAACAAAGCGAGGTTTTTAGTTTGAACGAGGCTAAGCGATATTGTTTTGCATCTACGTAACACAACCACAGCAAAAAAGGTTTTCTACAGTGTCATTTTAAAAATGTTTTCAAAATCATTGTCACCTTTTGAAGAGTTAAAAACAAAAAAAAGCGTTTTTTAAAGTGATCCGGGGGTTCTTCCTTGTTTTGAACTAAACTACAAATCCGTTACGATGTTTGGTTGATCGTTGGCACTAAGCAAATTTGGAGATTCGAAGCTTGATCTTAAATTAGAGTAATGAATATGAAACCCTTATGAGAAGCCTTGTATCAAAAAGTTTTTTAATAAGGGGTCGTAATCACGCTTAACTGAATTGAGACGGTCAATTCTTACGGGGCTGACTGGATTGCTCTCTAGTAGACGCGCTAGCCGCTGTTGTTCCACTAGGCTTAATGCTCGAGGTTGGTGGCTCCCCTCCCTCTGAACAATTTCTGGCTGCGTGCTTACCTCCACATCGGGAGCAGATGTGGGTAAAGGAACATCCGGAACAGAACCTCCCGTTATTAAAGTTAAAGCATGTTCCTTTAACGAGAGGGATTTGTCGTGATTTTCCGACTCGCCCGGCGGGAAAGTTACCTCTCTGGGGACGAAAAGGCAAGTTAACTGAAGTGGCTTCGAGCCATAACTCTCACTGGACTTCCTCCCAAGGGTACCTATCGGGGGCGGACTGGCGCAAATATCTAAATTGCTCATCATAGTAAGCCCAGTTTCCGTTTTTGTTTGCAATGGCACGAACGGTCTCACAATATTTTAGCAAAGCGGCCGTGTCCCCCGCGAACTTCTGGCAATAAATGGCCATAAACGTGTGGAACGCCGTGACCCACTGCTGAATACTATTCAATTTACGTGGGGCGCTAGCTGGCTCTAATGTAATCTGCGGCTTATTGCCATTGCCTGTAGCCGAAAGCCCAAGAGCAAAACGCTCTTGTGGAACCGCGGTTTGGAGCATTGCTCCAAGGTGTACAAATTCGTTAGCCCAAATTTTGGATTTTATTTTGTCGCTAACTGCACTTCCAAGGGGGATGGCGACGCTTGAAAAAAGGGGTGTGGTTGGCATACTCTGCACGTTAGGTGATACAATATTACCTCCAGAAGTCCCGGCAATAGCTTGCGTCGCTTGCACAACAGAATCCTGGACTATCGAGGCTGTAGTAGGCACGTGGGCGGACACCACGGTCGACGTTGATGCTGCGTTAGTTGACGTTGTTACTGACGGTGGTGGTCGTAGCGCGTCCTGGACGGCCTTTTGGACAGCCAGAGAAAGGGCACTGGACAGCGCTGTAACATGTACTTGCATCGTGCCGTCTTGTTGATTAGAGGTACTATTTGACAAGCTGCTCGACGTGCTAGCGGTACTGGTTGCCATGCTGTTTACTGTAGAGGCAGAAGGGCCAGAACGTCTCGGACGCTTACTTCGTGGAGGCATACTTGTAAAGAATAGAGAGTGTTAATTTATCCAAACGTATTAATGTTCTCGTGTAACTCGTAATCTGTAGTTGTATCGCAATAACTGCCACAGGTCAAATAAATGCGGTATTAAAATTAAGAATTGTCATTAGATCGTACGCTCGTATCCTCAAATACATACAAATAGCTTGGGACTCCGAGTGCTATGGCACGCAACACAGGCGGCCCACTCATTTGGAGACAAAGCATAAAATCGACCGTGACCGGCCAAACAAGGCTCAAGGACAAACAATACGTTGTGAGTACAATGGCGAATTACACTACCAAGTACCAACGCAAAAAGAATATTTAACTTGGCAGTATGTCCAATAAAGAGGAAATAATGAGCTATAGTACAGATCTAAGACTCTAACTTTGTACATCATTAAACACTTTAAGTGATTGGATCAAAGCCCCCCTCAAACTGCGATAAAGTTTAAACTGTCCACGTTGGTTCAGATGAACTCCATCGTGCAATAAGAATGACTGTGTTGTCCTCCAAAATCCCCTGTGTCTCCAGTAAAATGCAAATGGAAGGGGCTGTAGGACAACGCGTAAATAATCCGTCAACGTGCGAATGCGTACGTTTAAGTGCGCGTTCTCTCTTAGTATAGTTTGGCACACGCAAACCACGGTTACGCCGAATTGTTCATGTAATAGCTTTGTTAGGTCCTCTAACTGTGAACCGACAGTTAGAGCGAACGGATTGAACGTTAAACGTTAAACTTTCATTGCTTTCGCTTGGACACTTCATTTCTTTCAGTTTTGCCACCGAAGAGGTAAAAGGTGTAAATTATGTTCCTTCGCGAGCAAATGACCAGTTTGAAAAAAGATGTTATAGATAAACGGCTTGTAAATTCAGTGAAATACCTCTATTTATCCTTACGATTAGTGTGAAGCTTGTTTACACGTAAAAAAAGTTTGAAAACAAATGTAAAAACAAGCACAAGGTACAAAAAAGTTGTCGAAGGATCAAACATGTACGACTGACCTTGCTTCCTATTCGCTAACACAATGACAGTTCTGACAGTTGACTTTGAAATTGCTTTCTGGAGCGCGCGCTCAAGATAAAAACAAACAATATTACCGCTGTTTTCTTTTTTTTCTGATTTTTATTCGATTATGCGATTCAAGGAAAATCCATTACCTGACTCGTGAATTCCACGTTAAATTGCACTTGAAAACCGATTTCACGCGAAATATCGGTTTTCGCGTGCAATTTAACGTGGAATTCCCTCGTCAGGTAATGAATTTTCCTATAGAATCAATTTAGTCACTTCGCTTATCACCGACAGCATAACAGGATACTTTAGCTGGTGTAGTTAACGGACAATGTGTAACATTGAACACATCACATGGACACTCATGGATGGCGTGAAGCCTTCTTTAACATAAACACGGGAACTGCTTTATTTTCCACTTAACAAACCTCTTTCGTGCAGAATTAGATAAATTTGACTATTTTACATGGGAAAAGTCTAATTTGAAACAAATTGATAACTTTTTTTAAACGCCCTTGTGGTTGTTTCAGTCTTCCTTAGACGTTCCAACAGGCGCCTTTGTAGTGCGCAAGCATGAATAACACGCCACAGGCTTTTTCCAACTTCCAAAAACCCTCGCCTTTAAAGCGAGGCCAAGTGCAGAATCAGTCCTCAGTAAAGGAAAAATGAGTTTTTTAATGATAACAGAGAATTCTTATGTTCATATCTAAGTTTTTTTTTACTTGACGCAACACACCAATAGATTGGGGAAGTTAAGATAATCGAACTTTATTTACAAATGATTAAAGTGAAAAATCCTTCGTGTAAAACTGAAATATTATACAAAAGCATCAGCCCAACAAATACGGAATAAAAAGTTTGCTTCCTGCTAAAAAGTAGATTAGTAACTTTTCAGCCACATTATTTATTTCAAGTGATGCTATGATAATGAAAAACTAAGAAACAAGCAGTTCTGAGGATTCCAACAGGATTTGCACCTATGATCTTCCAGAACATCTATGAGAAACTCGTGGAGAGATATGCCATACAACTAGACTGATGTTTGTATTCAAAATTATGGTAGACTTTTGCTACTTTTCATATATTATAATAATCGTTTACACTTTTATCACTGAATCTGTAACCAGAAAGGACATTGTCATTTTTATGAACACAGAGAGGATGGCAGGTTCGGCAAGAGACGGTCTTTCGTACCTCAAAGGTAGTAAGGGCATCCAACCGGTGGAAGTTCTTAAGTACAATATTGAAAAGGGTTTAAATCTAAATCGCCTTCTAACAGATTTTTCTGCACTATTGAAAAAAAAACCTAATCCTGTTCACTAAGTTGCTTCTTCTCTTAAACAAAGTTACTTGATGAGTGCTGTAGCTCAGAAAGCAGCTAACCTACCCTATATATAACTGAAGCGGCTCTAATCAGAGGCGTAAAATTCTGACTAATGAAAATGAGCTAACAAATTACACAAGGACGCCGTAATGATTGATAGGTAGGCTCATTTCTAAGAAAACTAGAATGACAAACCTGGAAACAGTTTACAATTTGCTGACCTTCTAAAGACCTCAAGTCCGTTTCATAAACCACATTCATAATGCTGCAAGAGGACCAACTAAGAATATAGCACCGTACTTCTAACTTCTAGTGAGCACCCACCCACTCAATGCTGTCAGTTTACGTTTGAAAAAAAAACCAAAAAGATCAGAAGTTATGACAGTACAAGGCTGAGGATTGGAAAACGCTCAATTGAAAAGGGGAGAATATACAATTTTGTACATCGCCTGAGTTGCTAAGTCTTATCAGTGACTAATGGGGAAGGGGGAGGGGGTCTTCTAATAGGACACTCTCGACATATTAAAATTCAGTAATTTCGCTAGTCTTTGAGGACACAAACAAAGAAAACGAATAAATATGTTTATTCATTTCCTTTGTTAGTGTCCTCTAAGACTCGCCATCATGCTGAATTTAATATATCGAAAGTGGCCTTTTAAGCCTAGAAAAGTTTTTAGATCTTTCCGCTAAACACTGTCACTACAGTGATCAATGAAACATTTTGTGGTAGTGAATGATGTTAGGCAAGTAAAACCAACACCCTAAGTATCGTATTGACGCAAACGAGGAGAAACCAACGACGGGTTTCTGTAAAACAACTGTCCAGAGAAGCAAATATTGCCTAGAGTTTTATATTATTTGAGGACAGCTAAAAATTCCATTCTTGTACAATTTTCGAAGCTTACCTAATAAATTCTCCACGATTTTTGAAGTTTAATTTTTCACATTTCACTCCCTAGGTTAGGCTATTTTTCGTGGAGAAAAGGAAACCTAAAATTTTCGGATTCAAAAATGTGAGATGAGAGGAATCACAAAAATTCTCACTTTCGTAATACGTTAAATTCATGATATAAAATTTTCAGGAAAATAAAACTGCGAGAGAAGCACTCTGGATACTGAGCCCCAAAAGTGTTTTCAATGTGCCCCAGGCAAAGGGCACCATATTCCAGAGAACACTTGCCTCTCTTTTCCTAGCTTAGATATATATTTGGTATTTCACCATGTTCGTTGAGATCAGCACATTAATTACAAAGTCTTCAAACTAAAGTAATACTGATGTTCTTGTAAGGCATGTAAGTAATTGTGCTCTTTTGAAGTGAACGTGAAGCGCAGGATAGGCAAGTAACAGAGGTCACTTAGAACGAAAAAAACCCCTGATATATTAGACATGGGTTCAGAAGGTCTATACAACTTTGACGTCTCCACTATGAGGACGACTAACTGGTCCTGCCTACCCCTCCCCCCTTCTCCTTGTGCTGCGCGCTAAGCCCATGCTTCACCTTCCCCTGCAACGTATCAATATGGCGCCTGCTTTAAAATGTATGANTTTAATTTTTCACATTTCACTCCCTAGGTTAGGCTATTTTTCGTGGAGAAAAGGAAACCTAAAATTTTCGGATTCAAAAATGTGAGATGAGAGGAATCACAAAAATTCTCACTTTCGTAATACGTTAAATTGCATGATATAAAATTTTCAGGAAAATAAAACTGCGAGAGAAGCACTCTGGATACTGAGCCCCAAAAGTGTTTTCAATGTGCCCAGGCAAAGGGCACTATATTCCAGAGAACACTTGCCTCTCTTTTCCTAGGTTAGATATATATTTGGTATTTCACCATGTTCGTTGAGATCAGCACATTAATTACAAAGTCTTCAAACTAAAGTAATACTGATGTTCTTGTAAGACATGTAAGTAATTGTGCTCTTTTGAAGCGAACGTGAAGCGCAGGATAGGCAAGTAACAGAGGTCACTTAGAACGAAAAAAACCCCTGATATATTAGACATGGGTTCAGAAGGTCTATACAACTTTGACGTCTCCACTATGAGGACGACTAACTGGTCCTGTCTACCCCTCCCCCCTTCTCCTTGTGCTGCACGCTAAGCCCATGCTTCAACTTCCCCTGCAACGTATCAATATGGCGCCTGCGCTAAAATGTACAATTATCACCTGTTCACGAAGCGGTCTCCGACAAGACTACTTCGTTGAGATCCTAGGTATAGGTTTTCTATAGCTGTGACAGTAGTTGTCAACTTAAACGACTTGTTTCCTCTCAGTTCTTTGCTTCCGTTGCTCCTTCGCCATCTTTCGAACTGCTCTTACCAAATGCACCTGCAAATAAAAAAACTAATCATGACGGTTCCCTTTCGTATGTATTCTTTGCACGACTTATTTTAGCCATCGATCAACATGCTTCAGTTGCTCGTTGCGCTAAATGTTTTGCCTAAATATCTCTTACACAGATTTTTTCAAAGTCAAACAAATAGCAAAACCTTTACACTTTGAGGGAATCATTTATATGGTAAACATTCAGTAGAGTCGTATTGTGTCACTTTCAGCTTAAATGCGATTCGTATGATATTCGCACTGCACACCCACTGGGGACGTGGAAGGGGCGAAACTTCTAAGTAATTTCCACTGAACCCCATCGAACTAGCCAAGAGGCGGGCAAAAACCAAGCAATTCTGACCAACGGACGCAATGCATCATGCAACCAGCGCGCAGGCTCAACACGATGGAATTTAGAGGAATTACTCAATTCTCTCGTCACTGGTCAATTAGATATGCAGTGAGAATATTTTAGTTTATTTTACTTTCCTACGGTTTGCTGTTTGTATACTGATCAGATTATATCTTAAAGCCGGAGATTGATATCAAGCCAACCATGCCATCCATTGCAGCCCGAGCAGCCTGTGCAATGGGCCTAGTACAAAATCGCGACTACGAAGAGAAATAAGGCGAAACGTACTGTAAAACCGAATCGAATGAGATTTTCTCTTGGGGTATATTACATCTTGTGACTTCTCCGCGGAACGAGCATCATAAAAGAGACGATTGATGACAAAAATCCCCCGATTAAGAACAGGGAGTTGCCCTTAGCTCATTTGCCATAAAAAATGTAATATTTGTATATAAAAATAAAAGTTGCAAAATCAAATGCTCCTGCAACTGCTTGCGCAACATTAGGTGCCCAAGGAATCTTCCCGTCTGCTTTTCAACTCTCGCCGACCTGTAATTAGTACTGATACCCTCGGAGCTGGTTCTGGTTCCCTTAGGATGAATGTGTTTTAGCACTAAAAAATACATGCAGCGTTTTTTATATCCTGTTCTAAGCTCTCAGATAGTAGGGATGACGCGGTGAAAGGTGTGCAAAATATGAGCGCATGAATTTTGAGCAAACGGGGCGGTGGCGTTTTATTTTCGTGTTCTTTCTCAATTTCGCCAACCCGACTATCTCGGAGCCTGGAAAACCTACGATTTTTTTTCATCAGGTGCACCCTTTAGTAAAAGTTTGTTTGTCACTTACTTCTCTTATCAATGACTTAAATTGTTTTCTTATCCTCTTTGGAATTCCATCTGTCGTTCTCTACATTTTCATTTTAGCTTTTTATCACTTTAGAATGAGATTCGACCACGCTTTACAAAATATTCTAGCCTATAGAAATCGGAAAATGAAATTCAGTCTTCTCTTCGGTTGCCTCACTTCCAACAACACGGTTTAAAAATACAATAAATAAAGAAACTAACGCAACTCAGTATAACTCAAACCATTAATAATATATATTTCAAAAAATACGAAGGTTAATTTCACATATTTTATCGAAAAAATTGCTACAAAAAATTATATCAAATACAAACCTCTGAAAGCCACATCATCTCCAATCAGCATAAATGGCGCCCACTGCTTGACGTCAGAAAAGTGATTCTCTCTCATCGACTTCATGGCCTGATGAAGACATTCACTGGCACTTTCACCACGAACAAGGTGCTCGTAAAAACGATTCATAAACCACATGGTAGCCTCATCCTCTACAGCCCACAGTGCCGCCAGCACGGCGCGTGTACCCGATGCTAGAAATGCTCTAGCGATTCCAATAACTCCCTCAGCCCTTATCTGACCACTTGCACTATGACAGCAGCTAAGGACAACCAGCTTGGCTGTTAGTCGAACTTGTGAAATTTCAGCCATCGTCAATAAGTAGTCTTCTTCGCGTGGAGTTCCGCAGGAGCTTATAGGGGAAAGAGCTATTTCTCCACGCTCGGCATAACCATGAGCAGCGAAGTGAACAAGACTTACTGAATGCATGCTTTCCAGGACTTTCTTCTTAGTTGCATCCTTTCCAAGCAACGGTTGAACACCGAGCAATCGCCCAATAATCTCTGCTTCCTTTCTCGCCCAAGGCAATGGACCTAAATTTCTAGATTTTCCTTGATAGTACACGTTACTAACTTCTGGCTCTCCTACGATCAGCGCACCGGTTTTACTATGGTAGTGTGCTGGACAGTCCTGAATCAACTTTAGAGTCGTCAAGGAAGGAACAATGCGAATCCTGGAAGTATCCGATAAATACGTTCCATTATCATCCATTAAAGCTGCAAAAGGAATTGCGTACATCAAGCGATCCGGTACGATAATGATTTCTGGTTCCTGGAGCAAGTCAGCTACAGGCGCGATGATCATGTTGTGACCATCAGCCAGGGTTGGTGGCCCATTTTCCTGCGTTTCGTCGTCTTCTTCTTCTATAAGACGCGAAGATATGAAACTGTCACTCTGAGATGGTTTGCTTGATGACGGGGACTTTACAAATGAAAACAATGATCGATCTTCACATTGGTCCTGACGTATATCAAGACAGCCATCAAATGTTTGATTTTCAAACACTTTATCTTCGCTTTCTTTGAGTTTCGTTTGTCGAAAAACTATGGTTTTGTTTGGTTTAAGGATCCAAAAATACATGTTATTGCTGAAAAAAGAAACGTATAGACAGGAACTAAGGACATTTTTGTTCATGATATTCTCAATACCAATCCACGACTGTGGGTTGACTGATACCTCTTTTTCCACAGAGTACCTATCTGACAGGATATCTGCCAGTGTTCTTGACCGTGCAAGCTCGGCAACGTAAAGGGCTTCATTATAACTGCCTGTCAGAATAAGCAGCCTACAAAGAAGACGGTACACGGGCACACGTTCATCAAAAAAAGGAATCTTGAACTCCTCTTTCAGTCTTAAAAAATAATGCATTTCTTCACACCTTTGAATGCTTTTATAAAGATTTAGCACAAGTTCAGTTATGTTTCCTCCTGACTCTAAAGTGTTCAAAACAATGGCAAGGTGACTTTCAAACTGCAATTCAATGTGCCCTATTTCGTAACTTATCTCAAGTGCTTTTGTCGCAAATTCTTGACTCTTCGCATATTGATGAAATTCTTGATAAACTTCTGCCAGCTTTAAGTATGAAGATCCAACACCCCCTTTGTTTCCAATTTCTTTTCTGATCGTCAGTGCTTTTTGATGGTATTCTTCAGCCTTGGTATATTGACCAACAGAGTGAAACACAGTTCCTAGATTTTCGTAGCACGCTGCTTTTCCTTCTTTATCACCGATTTCGTCCTTGAGAGTTAGTGATTTTTGATGGTACTCTTCAGCATTGGTGTATTGACCAACACATTGAAACACACTTCCTAGATTTCCGTAATCTGATGCTTCTCCTTTTTTGTCACCAATTTCTTTCCTGATCGTCAGTGCTTTTTGAAGGTATTCTTCAGCCTTGGTATATTGACCAACAGAACGATACACGGTTCCTAGATTTCCGTAACCTGATGCTTCTCCCCTTTTGTCACCGATGTTTTTCCTGATCGTCAGTGCTTTCAGAAGGTACTCTTCAGCTTTGGTATATTGACCAACAGAACGATACACGGTTCCTAGATTTCCGTAATCTGATGCTTCTCCTAGTTTGTCACCGATTTCTTTCCTGATCGTCAGTGCTTTTTGAAGGTATTCTTCAGCCTTGGTATATTGACCAACAGAATGATACACAGTTCCCAGATTTCCGTGATAGACTGCTTGCCCTGCTTTGTCACTGATTTCTTTTGTGATAGTCAGTGCTTTTTGAAGGTATTCTTCAGCCTTGGTATATTGACCAACAGAAAGAAACACGGTTCCTAGATTTCCGTAACCTGATGCTTGTCCTGCTTTATCACGGACTTCTTTACTGATCGTCAGTGACTTTTGAAGGTATTCTTCAGCCTTGGTATATTGACCAACAGAAAGAAACACGGTTCCTAGATTTCCGTAACCTGATGCTTGTCCTGATTTATCACGAACTTCTTTACTGATCGTCAGTGACTTTTGAAGGTATTCTTCAGCCTTAGTATATTGACCAACAGATTGAAATATAACTCCTAGATTTCCGTAACATGCTCCCTTTCCATGGGTGTTTCTAGTCTCAATCATGATGCGAAGTGCCTTCTCGGAAAACTGTTTTGCTTCCTCGAATTTGCTTCTTTCATAGCATATGTTCGCTAGTTTAAGTAATATTATCCCTTCTTCTTCATGTTGGCCGCTTTTGTGTAGTGCAACGTGAAGTTTTTTACCACATTCTATCGCACTGGTGTGATCGTAAATAAGAGTGTAGCCATCGAGAAGTTTATGGTATACATAGATAACAATTGGTAGGGTAAGTTCTTTGACTTTCTCCAGGGCTTTGCCGTTAAGGAACACTAAACATTCGTTAACAGTGTCTATTGCTTTTATAATACGTCCAGTGTGGAAAAAGAAAGTTGCAACAGCTGCACCAATACGAATGGTCTTTAGAATCTCGAAGATGTCGTTCATGACACTTTTTTCTTTATCCTTTAAAGAAAAAAGTAATATTTTAAGTGTTAATTTATCAGAAAAATATGTCTATTTGTTTAATTAAAGACCCTCAAACATTTGGTGACAGCTTTAAAAACTCGTTTTTGGAGTTTAGAGCTGACAGTGGAAAACAGGAAACAAGTCAGTTTGGTTTAGTAAGAAACAAGGCTCACTCACAAAAAAAAACCTGAAGCATGGGGAATACCAAATTAAGACAAGCGAAGAAATCTTTCATTGAAAAGGCCTTCAAACTTTATCTTTAATTGGCATAATCGCCTCTAGCGAGGTAATCTGTCAATGGACGGTCAGTACATGGAAGCTCGTAACATTGACAACGAAATAAATAAACAAAATAAAAACAAATAAATAAAGAAAAAAGGAATATTTTAAGTGTTAATTTATCAAAAAATATCTCTATTTGGTTATTTTAAAGACCCTCAAACATTGAGTGACAGCTTTAAAAACTCGTTTTTCCAGTTTTATAACTGACGTGGAAAACAGGAAACAAGTCAGTTTGGTTTAGTAAGAAACAAGGCTCACTCACAAAAAAAAGCCTGAGGCATGAGGAATACAAAATTAAGACAAGCGAAGAAATCTTTCATTGAAAAAGCCTTTAACCTTTATTTTTAATTGGCATAATTGCCTCTAGCGAGATAATCTGTCAATGGACGGTCAGTACATGGAAGCTCATGACATTGACAGCGAAAATAATAGACAAAATAAAAACAAACAAATACAAATGAAATTATAAGTAACATGAAAAAAAAAAATCTTCAATACTTGAATGAAACGCAGCAACAGAATCCCCACACATGGAAGCAGGAGACAAAGCGTTCCAAGCGAAAACAGTTCTTACGAAAATAGAATACTTGTGCGCGTTAATGATAGATGAGCAACGCTGGAACTGGAATGGGTGCTGTGCACTAGCTCGAGTCAAACAGGGACAGTGAACCTAGCGTGGGTCGTTTGGGAAAGATATCCGTACATTTCTTGTCTTTATCTTAAACAAACATTGTCAAATCGGTGATTTGCCGACAAGATCTTGCCAACCCAAGTTCGATAACATTATATTAATGCTGCTGGAACGACAGTAATCGTTACAAACGAAGCGCATCGCACGACACTGAACAGATTCAACACAGATAATGTCTTTTTGTGTACATGGACTCTAGGCTACGGAGCCGTACTCGCATACATGGCGGACCAGGGACACCCTGGGGGACACCGGATTGTACAGGTGACCAATTGGACGAAGAACCATTACCACTAAAGTTTTCTCCTACCAGTGAGAAAAGCCCGCAGTCAATTGTTTAGTTTCCGATATATGCCGTAAATTTTGGCCTTAAGGGGGAGCCATTCGTGAGGCTCAGTGTCAACGGCTTTCGCAAAATCGAATAAGATCACATTGACATGGCCATGGATGTTAAGAAGACTTTGCCCACTCACGAATGACCGTAATTAACTGGGTCTCACACGAAAGTCCTCTTTGAAAGCCACGCTAGTGAAAAGAGATTACTGAATTGGCAACAGATTTGCTTAGAACTAATGTGTTCTATGGTCTTTGCGCAATAAGAGATGTTAATGACACAGGTCTATAATTCTTACAGTCAGCAGAATGCCCCTTTTTAAAGATTGAAGTGATATTGAATCTTTCCAGGCAGAGAGTATAATGCCCTCATTAAATTTTGTTGGAAAAGAGAGGCGAGGATAGGGGCCAAATGGGATGCAGACTCCTTAAGAACGCGAGCAGGAATTTGATCAGGCCCACATACTTTGTCAGGTCTGATGAACTCAAGCAGCTACTGAAAACCATGGGCTAAGAACTTAATGTCCAGGATATCCTGGTACGGAGATTCGGCGAGTATTGGAATGTTATTTAAATCCTCACGTATAAGCACACTCTCGTATTGTTGGCGTAAGGCTTCGGCTTTTGACACATCGTTTGCTCACACGCGATTGTTACAGAAAAGGGCTAGGATACCCATAAACTCAGAACGTAAGAGCTTAATGTAATACCACGCCCACTTAATGCCAGTACTGGTTCTGCCGTCCGAAGACGGTGCGATATCGCCTATGACCTCCTCAACATATTTCGCGTGCGATTCACGAATAATCTTAGTTGTTCTATTACGTAACTGTCTATAGGCGCTTATGTGCTTGGCCTTGCCAGTTCTTTTAGTCTTTTTCTGAAAGCGGTCACGCTTTTTCATCAATCTTTTAATAGCTGGACTAACCCAAGCGAAATGGCCTTTTGATTTTGTCATTTTGGATGGAATAATGCGATAATGGACAAGTTATCCTCAACAGACCTTTCTTCGGGACCTGATGCGAGATAGTAATCGCTGGAGGACGACAGGTGGGCACGAAGGCCTTCATATTCCCCCTTAAGAAATTGATATACTCTCCCAGGAGGTTTTTTTGGAGCCACTTAAACTTCAAAGAGGATAGCGTCGTAGTCGCAGATGCCTAGGTTGACGTGGCATGCCTGGATGAGGTTGCTGGTGGTAGGAAATACAAGATTTAATGTTCTCCCAGAAGCGGGACGGGTTGGAGATTTTACGTGCTGGATTAAGCCAAACTTGTAGGCAATCTCTAACAGGGCATTATCGCAGGCATGCGCTGGAATGTCGCTATACAGGTCACCAGAACACCAATCAATAGCGCCGCAGTTGAGGTCGCTGCCCAGGATAGTATGAGGGTAACCAGATCGAATGTTGCAAAGCTTACTGAGAATGTCATCTAACAGGTCCAAAGAGCAGCGGTGTTGGTGGGCGATAAAAGCTGTTAAAGTTAGAGTTTCTTTGTTTTGTCAAGAGACAGACTGTGACGACCTCAAAGCCCTTAACGCCAAGGCGTCTTACCTTCACAGCCAATAGATCGTTCCGAACTGCAATAAATACCCCTCCTTCAGAAGATGACCTGTCCTTACGGAAGATATCATAGCTTTCTGGGAAGATTGAATACGTTGGAATATCAGTGTCAACTTTTGACTCACATCCCAGTATGATATCTGGTTTGTGCAGCTCGATGTAAGAGTGGAACTCAGCCCTTTTAGTTAAGCCCTTTAAACCGTTGCAATTGAGAGAGACAACTTTCAGTTTTCTTTCCACGGGTTTCTTCCTCGGAGGTGCAGGGATAGTAGGGCTTGAGGAGCGAAGAGGTGGCCCTGGTGACGAGGGACTAAACAAACTTCCAAAACTGTTGGAGACTGTTGCCGAAAAAGAGTCGTTCAGCAGAAGAGACGTATAGAAGTTTGGAAACAAACAGCGGTTACATATCCACAGCAGTCCAGAGTCACACCCGTGGTTGTCATAATACTGAGTGAACAGTGCAATTCGTATGAAACCACTCCAATCACTCCTCGCATTCAATTCCCTTCCGATTTCGCACGACCGGAGCAGAACATAGCAGTAGTTGATAAGAGCCTGTGGTTGGAATCCAAGATGATCGACCTCTTGGAAGCAAATCGGTTGATGGAGGACTCCAATCCAACCAAAAGTGGACGATCCGTCAAGGGCGAAATCTGATAAGGTGGGTCGATGGAACAAAAACTAGCTTTTGGTCGTCGAAAGGACAAGTTGCAGCGCACTAATACAGAAAAAGAAAACACAATCGCTGGAGCAATAAAACGTATGGCTGCCATGTTCGGCGACCGCTTACCATCCAGCCTTATCCAAAACTAGACAATAAGGCTTATTAAATCGTTCACCCACCATGAAGGCCCTTGCGGCTTGATGTGAATGAAGTGAACAAGTTATTCACTAGTGCGGCCGAGCGCACAACATGAAATTCCAAGGTAGACACCAAGGAAGAGTTAATCAACTTCGCCAGTTTTTACAACCAACAATTGGCAACCATGAATTATCCAACTGCGTGCTGGGGATAAGGTCCAATACTTTTACAGGACCTGAACAGCTTCCACCAGAATTTCTGAAACTTGTTGCTAGAACCTCCCTTACTCATGACTCAATTTGTCTCAAACTGAAAATAGCTTTTGGGTTTGAAGGGTAAGGGGTCTTGTGATCAAGGGAAAATGCGTATCATTCACATTATCATTAGCTTGGAAGTTTATAACAAATTGCAAGCCGGGACCCTAGAGTTCAACAGCCGGTTGGTTTCCCAACTGATTTGTTATTGTTTGTCTTCTAGGTTTTACTGCAAAATATGGCTTCATTATTTCCTCTTGGCCCAATGCCACCAAGGAATTCGACTGTCAAATGCTGTTATTACTTGAACCAAAATAGCTAACAGTAAGATGTAAACCTCAGGATTCACTGCCCTCGTTGTACCTATACTTTATCTAAAGGACGAGAGTGTTGACCATGGCGTTCATTTTCTCGTAGCTCATTGCATGAAATGTTTCCGCAGTTCATATATGGTTTAGTTCATATATCATTAACATGAAATGTTTTGCTGCGCTGGGTTGAGAGGTTCATTTGAATGAAGATTGTGGAAATATTGTAGCCAATTTTCGTTCGAGCTTAAAGGAACAACCTCTCCTTTTCTAGTGTCGTCCATCGATTTGAGGCATTGCCAGAAAGATATCGCGTCTGAATTGTCTGCGGTTTCTAGCTCAGAAATCTTGGCATTGTAATAGTCATTCTTTTTAGAATTAAGTAATTTCTTGTATTGCGCCAGGGTATCATGATATTGCTCACGTACAGTAGTATCCAAAGGGTCTCGATGTTTCTTGTTTGCTAGTTTTCTTGAAACTGTAATTCATCTCCTTTCAAACGACATTTTTTATCGAACTATTTTTTGTTTGATAATGATTTCATGCGCGTTACCTGCTTTTATCTTTAAACAACACTTACCCGTTGTGATTAAAATGTTTTTCACCTTTTCGAGGGATAGCTCAGTATTTTCACTGAATGTGTCGGCAGCAATATAATCGCGCATTAGTGTTTGTGTACGGGGACACCTCAGAGCATCTTTGACTTTTTCAGAGCAGAGTCGTTTTCCCACAGAAATTGTTTCGGTAAACTCGTTAAAGTATCTCCTTCAAGTATGGTGTGATTGTAACTCTTCTTTTTGTTAATATTCACCCAAGTAGTAATAGAGCTATGGTCTAACTACAAAATTTGCAACGTGTCATAAAAGATCCTGGTCACATACTGCGTAATCAACTGCACTCACTCCATGACAGAGTAAAACTACAAACCCATAGTCATAACCGTAAAGATTTAATGTTCTCCCAGAAGCGGGACGGGTTGGAGATTTTACGTGCTGGATTAAGCCAAACTTGTAGGCAATCTCTAACAGGGCATTATCGCAGGCATGCGCTGGAATGTCGCTATACAGGTCACCAGAACACCAATCAATAGCGCCGCAGTTGAGGTCGCTGCCCAGGATAGTATGAGGGTAACCAGATCGAATGTTGCAAAGCTTACTGAGAATGTCATCTAACAGGTCCAAAGAGCAGCGGTGTTGGTGGGCGATAAAAGCTGTTAAAGTTAGAGTTTCTTTGTTTTGTCAAGAGACAGACTGTGACGACCTCAAAGCCCTTAACGCCAAGGCGTCTTACCTTCACAGCCACTAGATCGTTCCGAACTGCAATAAATACCCCTCCTTCAGAAGATGACCTGTCCTTACGGAAGATATCATAGCTTTCTGGGAAGATTGAATACGTTGAAATATCAGTGTCAACTTTTGACTCACATCCCAGTATGATATCTGGTTGGTGCAGCTCGATGTAAGAGTGGAACTCAGCCCTTTTAGTTAAGCCCTTTAAACCGTTGCAATTGAGAGAGACAACTTTCAGTTTTCTTTCCACGGGTTTCTTCCTCGGAGGTGCAGGGATAGTAGGGCTTGAGGAGCGAAGAGGTGGCCCTGGTGACGAGGGACTAAACAAACTTCCAAAACTGTTGGAGACTGTTGCCGAAAAAGAGTCGTTCAGCAGAAGAGACGTATAGAAGTTTGGAAACAAACAGCGGTTACATATCCACAGCAGTCCAGAGTCACACCCGTGGTTGTCATAATACTGAGTGAACAGTGCAATTCGTATGAAACCACTCCAATCACTCCTCGCATTCAATTCCCTTCCGATTTCGCACGACCGGAGCAGAACATAGCAGTAGTTGATAAGAGCCTGTGGTTGGAATCCAAGATGATCGACCTCTTGGAAGCAAATCGGTTGATGGAGGACTCCAATCCAACCAAAAGTGGACGATCCGTCAAGGGCGAAATCTGATAAGGTGGGTCGATGGAACAAAAACTAGCTTTTGGTCGTCGAAAGGACAAGTTGCAGCGCACTAATACAGAAAAAGAAAACACAATCGCTGGAGCAATAAAACGTATGGCTGCCATGTTCGGCGACCGCTTACCATCCAGCCTTATCCAAAACTAGACAATAAGGCTTATTAAATCGTTCACCCACCATGAAGGCCCTTGCGGCTTGATGTGAATGAAGTGAACAAGTTATTCACTAGTGCGGCCGAGCGCACAACATGAAATTCCAAGGTAGACACCAAGGAAGAGTTAATCAACTTCGCCAGTTTTTACAACCAACAATTGGCAACCATGAATTATCCAACTGCGTGCTGGGGATAAGGTCCAATACTTTTACAGGACCTGAACAGCTTCCACCAGAATTTCTGAAACTTGTTGCTAGAACCTCCCTTACTCATGACTCAATTTGTCTCAAACTGAAAATAGCTTTTGGGTTTGAAGGGTAAGGGGTCTTGTGATCAAGGGAAAATGCGTATCATTCACATTATCATTAGCTTGGAAGTTTATAACAAATTGCAAGCCGGGACCCTAGAGTTCAACAGCCGGTTGGTTTCCCAACTGATTTGTTATTGTTTGTCTTCTAGGTTTTACTGCAAAATATGGCTTCATTATTTCCTCTTGGCCCAATGCCACCAAGGAATTCGACTGTCAAATGCTGTTATTACTTGAACCAAAATAGCTAACAGTAAGATGTAAACCTCAGGATTCATTGCCCTCGTTGTACCTATACTTTATCTAAAGGACGAGAGTGTTGACCATGGCGTTCATTTTCTCGTAGCTCATTGCATGAAATGTTTCCGCAGTTCATATATGGTTTAGTTCATATATCATTAACATGAAATGTTTTGCTGCGCTGGGTTGAGAGGTTCATTTGAATGAAGATTGTGGAAATATTGTAGCCAATTTTCGTTCGAGCTTAAAGGAACAACCTCTCCTTTTCTAGTGTCGTCCATCGATTTGAGGCATTGCCAGAAAGATATCGCGTCTGAATTGTCTGCGGTTTCTAGCTCAGAAATCTTGGCATTGTAATAGTCATTCTTTTTAGAATTAAGTAATTTCTTGTATTGCGCCAGGGTATCATGATATTGCTCACGTACAGTAGTATCCAAAGGGTCTCGATGTTTCTTGTTTGCTAGTTTTCTTGAAACTGTAATTCATCTCCTTTCAAACGACATTTTTTATCGAACTATTTTTTGTTTGATAATGATTTCATGCGCGTTACCTGCTTTTATCTTTAAACAACACTTACCCGTTGTGATTAAAATGTTTTTCACCTTTTCGAGGGATAGCTCAGTATTTTCACTGAATGTGTCGGCAGCAATATAATCGCGCATTAGTGTTTGTGTACGGGGACACCTCAGAGCATCTTTGACTTTTTCAGAGCAGAGTCGTTTTCCCACAGAAATTGTTTCGGTAAACTCGTTAAAGTATCTCCTTCAAGTATGGTGTGATTGTAACTCTTCTTTTTGTTAATATTCACCCAAGTAGTAATAGAGCTATGGTCTAACTACAAAATTTGCAACGTGTCATAAAAGATCCTGGTCACATACTGCGTAATCAACTGCACTCACTCCATGACAGAGTAAAACTACAAACCCATAGTCATAACCGTATGCGTTAATAAAACGAAACACGATTAAAATTGAGAACTGGGGACAAAACCCGTCGTTGTTTATTTACTTACTGAATTATCGTTACTCGTTGTAGCGAATTGGTTTTGTCATCTTTCCCAGTTACTTTTCAGATTATTCAAAGAATGACATTATTAATCTCTACCCATCTTTATTCAATCATCTCACTCGGTGTAATTGCGTTATTGAAGCGAAAGACGTCTTGAAAAACTGAGCCACCTCTTTTTCAAAAAATGATGATCTATTTTTAAAGTTAGAGAGAAGTCAAACTACTCACCTACCTCCAAGGCAGTTTGTGGCTTCTGGCTTGCTATAAACCTAGTCTATTAACTGGCAAGGCTGTTTCGCTCTGCAAGGCTAACGAACCATAGAGGTGCCGGGCAAGATACACTTAGGCTACAAAACGTGCATACTCGCATCCTTCAAAGGCAAAGAAAAGTTACATGAATAAAACTAAGAACTAAAAACAA